TTTACATGAGTTAATTGTTAGTCATACATCAAAGATATGCATTATAACATGCATATTTCACACTTAATATTGGCACGTTGAGTTGTCCATGCTGCCATGCAAGCACGTAGAGATTGGTCTGTGCTGTTATTATATTGTGTGTGGATATAGATCCATCCGTCATGAACTATCCAACTATGTTTCTCTTTTGGTGGTATATGTGTTGGTTTGTTGGAGACGTGGAGAGTGCCGATTTGATATAAAGTTTACGTCTTTATCATACATTAATGGTATCAGGCTCTTGTTGATGTGTTTTACAAATGCTATTTCATGTGTATGATTATATATATATGTCGTTTAGATATATTAATATATGCACCGGTCCTACTATTCAAGGATATCATGCATTATATCACATGCTTAGATTGGGTACATCTTATACATTGTTTTCATGCTTTTCTTTTGTTATTAGGTATACTTATTAACTGCACAGGTAATGTAATGAGTGTTTTTGACTAAGACTTCTTCACTATTTTATTAGGGGAAAAGTTAACAATTCTTACTTGGTACGTGTGGGAATACTCATACTATATTTCTATATATTTTTGTACAGATTCAGATTTCAGTACTAGTGGAGCATCTGAGAGCGCTTAGGAGTTTAGGAGACTTTGATGTGAGCTATCTTGCTTTGTTCGTAGCTATTGGGGTTAATTACCTTCTATCTTTCTTTTGTTCTTCTTTACTCAAGACAGTATATGTACTTGAGACAGACAGTTGTAATGTTATGTTACTCCTTTTACACGATTCATGAATTGTGCTACCAGTTCTTAAGCGGTTATATGTGGTGTTCCATGTTGTCTCATATTTATTATTGTACTTTATTTATATTATGGATGTAAGACATTATTATATTATCTCGTTTCATGATTATTTTGAATTTTAGCTCTCCTAGTAATTAGGTTAGGTATCATGACTGCGTTTGTAGGATTTGAGTCGTGACAAATTTGAAAAGGGCGAAAGGTGCCAAATGATATGAACATATTTTGGGAGTATTATTAGATAAATAAGAAGATACTCGCAAAGGAGGGTCAAATATCCAAAGTTACATGTGCTGGTGTAGGACTATATGATCGTAACTATATTAAATAGCGCATTTAAATAGTCATCCATGATTTGGGTCTCCTCGAGTGGGATTATGATTGCTAGCAAAATTGTCCAAATCACACGGTATTGTGCTGGAGACACCTAGTCAATATGAGATGGGTGATCGACTTCCATGAATGTACACAGTGTCAGATATTATGCCAGTGATAGGGGTGGCATGTGGAACCGTCCGGGCCCTAAATGGGCTAACTGGACTGGTCTCGTGGGCCGCAGTCCCGACCCAGGGCCGGTCCTTAAATAAAGGAAAATTACCAGCTATGTCCATTTATAAGTAGCTTATTACAAAAATTGGGCAATTGATAAAATATTACTAATATTAGCCAAATTAGTCAATTAGCTATTTATAGCAAAAAAATATCAAATTTTTGCTTTGTTTTGAGTGGGTGTTATTAGAATAGATTGGGCACAACTTAAGGAGCTTGAATCTCATTTTTGGGATGATTTGGTGAAGTTTTGAGGTGGTTTGAATTGAAAATTCGAAGTAAAAGCTGAACATAAAAAAAAATGATATGTGTATCACATATGTATCATATTTGTATCAATTGTGTATCACGTGTATATCCATGTATACCTGTGTGTGAGATACATGCGTGATACATGTTTGATACATGTGTCGCATAAGACTTTTTTGAACTCGATTTAATTAAGAATTTTGATACAAAACTAGTCCAAATCACCTCCAATCTACCTCAAATTTTGTATATTGACTTATCTATATATCTTCAATGAAGTTCAACTATACCCATTGAAAAAGTTCCTGTTTTGTTTAGATTTTTGGAATATTGTATAGATTTTTATATTTCATCACCTTATTTGCTACCCAGTCCATGAAATTTCCTTTCCGTCTTGTATCTAATGTTGTTAATCACGCTTAAAAATATGGAAGGTGATTTTTTCATGTGATTCTTTGATAGAAAGAACCCTATTATTTGGGTTTTCAATTTTTGTTGGCTAGTTTTGGTAAGTCTATGACTAATGGCTAGAGGTTGGTAAGTTGAGATTTATATGGGACATTTGTGTAAGTTTCCCATAAATAAATGGACTTAGCGGTCCTGGCTAAATAATTTTTTTATAGGAACCGGCCCTGGACCGGGCCCACGAACACTACTAGAATTCCTGCAAAAAGCGACCAAACATTAGCGACCAACGTTGGTCTGTCAAGAAAAGCGACCAAAGTTGGTCGCTAAACTGGTGAAAATAATAAAATAATAATTTTAAATAAATTAGCGACAAACGTTGGTCGCCAATTGGTCGAAAATTTTGTCAAACTGTTGACCGGACTGGTCAGACTTGCTTAGTCAAAGAATTACTCAGATTAGCGACCAACGTTGGTCGCTTCATGGGACCCACCTATTAAATTTTAGTAATTATAACATTATTTTTAAAAAATAATAAAATATAAATAAATAAAATTTAAAATTAGCGACCAAAGTTGGTTGCTATATAAAGAGTAAACAGATGGAGACCAACTTTGGTCCCTAATTTGGGACCCAGTTATAAAATTTCAATAATTATAATTTTGTTTAAAAAAAATTATAAAATACAAATAAATATAATTCAACTTTAGCGACCAATGTTGGTCGCTCAGTAGAATATATACCAACTTTGGTCGCTAACCTGGGACCCAGTTAATATTTTAAAAATTATATGAAAGATAAATAAATCTGATTTAAATTTAGCGTCCAACTTGGGTCGCTAATTTAAAATTATGTATGTTAGCGAGCAAAGTTGGTCGCTATTTAGGTCACCATTGGTTAAAATTAAAAATCACTTTTGTATTTACTAAATAAATAATATAAATGTTAGCCGTTAACACTTTTGTAATACAAGGGATGAATAGTACTACGAAGCGTGCGTGTGTGTCTATATATATATATATATATATATATATATATATATATATATATATGTATGTATATGCTATATTCTATAATACATATTTAGATGGAAATATCATAAATATAAATAATTGTACTGCTTAAAAGAATATTTATACCTTAAATTGATTGAAAATTTGCTCCTTTAGCGAGAATGGGAATTCACTCCAAGTCGCATAAGGGCCATCATAAAGCTTTCTGGTGGCTTTGGTGATTATCCTTGTAGTAATATTACTAGGGATGAACCTGCAATTTAATAAAAAAAA